ATATAAGTGAAGACATTTGGTGCTCACAAGTATAGTTAAACCAGTACACACACACACACAGATTGAATTGATTTCTTTCCTCAAATGCATTGACTGTTCTAAAATATGAGACACCAATGTTTAAAGTTTAGGACACAGAATAGGACACATGCTTATTCGATAACTTTATTATTTTTTTAAGATCAACTGTTTTTTCCAAGGCATTGTTAGATGCCAGTGTTTCCTGACATTTGCTATGGGATTTTTGAGGATTTTGAAAGTCTGACAGTAATCAGTGTTGAATCCTACTGTAAGGTTAACCCTGCCTGGCTTAAATGTTTGAAAATGATTAACAGTTGAAAACATTCATTAGAAATGTAGAAAAGTAATCAAAAAGTAATCAGTTACATTACTTTAATAAAGTAATTGAAATAGTTACACTACTTATTACATTTTAACTGGGGTAACTTGTAATCTGTAACCTATTACATTTCCAAAGTAACCTTCCCAACACTGATGACACTTTAGTCAAATCAACCTCGGGCCTCAGCTAGCGGTCTACAAATAGATGATAAATAAACGCTTAAAAATAACCGCCACATCAAATTATCCTACTTCAATAAGCAGACAAGGTTCTTAAAACTTGTTTAATAAACGTATAACCGGTCTAATCACGTTTACGTGTCTTATTTGTTGATAGTTCCAATTCAAAACATCGAGTTAGCCTAGCTGTTCGTTAACATCGAGCTAACGCGGCGGAGCAAGAAAAACATCCTCACAGACGCACTTTAAAACACAGACACACCTCTAAACTAGGGGAGTTAAGTCTACTGATGTATTTCATTTGTGTTTAAAACTACAAGACTATGTTTAACGAATGTTTTACGCCTCGTACCATGTACCAGGTACCCAGGATGATGGTTCCAGTCCGCACGTGACAGCAGCCGCAGCAGCGCGCGCTGTACAGTCGGTCTCGAGACGGTTTGAAACGCATGTCGCTCTCGGTGGTTTGAAGAAACATTGAGAAAAAGAGACGAGATGAGTCTCCCCTGTCAAAAACAGCAGCCACAATAGCAGCGCTCGATCTTTCGGGCAAAACTCCCCCTGACGGATGACAAACAATGGGGGCGTGGTCAAAGCTAAATCATAACGATGCCCGAGTCGTGAACGAATCATTCTTTTGAGTCGGATCTTTTTAATACATTGGTAGAACCATAGACATGTGGTTCGGTTCACAAAATTGAAGTGGGCTGAATCAGACTGAGCAGGAATCATACTGAGTAAATCGCTCGTGAGTTGAACTGAACGCTTTTTACGGATCGGACTGAACCGAGTGATTCTCGAGTGAGCATCGCACTGACTGACTGAACAGAGAACCGTCAACCGAGGATAAATCGAGGATTTGACTGATTGCGTTACAAATATATGTTCATATAGATTTATTCATATTTAGATAAATATAGAAACGAAATTAATCATATATGATTCATTTTGAATAGGTCCTGTCGTTTAGAACCGATTCGCCCAAATGAATCACTAACACATCACTACTGAATCTTGCGTGGAAAACGGGGCGTGGCTACACGGATCACGCGTGAAAATGAGAGTTGGTCAGAGTTTAATCACGCATGGCTGCGCTTATATTTATTACTGCATTGGTGGATACTAGTACGGCTTATAGATTAAATGTTACAACGGCTTTCCATATTGGTGGGTCCTTAAGGAGAAATCGCACAGGAGGAGGATGATGTGCATGAGCTCACCCAGCTGTAGACAGACGAAGTTCAGGGCTGGATACTTTTCTCAGAAAAGCTTTTATGAGTTTCGAGAGCTGTTATATAATAGATAAGATGCTGTAAATTATGTAAGAAATCAGGTGATATTCCAGAGATAGACAGTGGCAGCTTGCAAAGATATATATGTGACTGCTAACAGTACAATTTTAGGGTATAATGCAGTCTGATCTTCCAAAAGACCAATTTATTATTATTATTATTCTTTACTAGACAGTTTTATACACATATTCTGTTGTCTCCAAATATATTTGGTAGAATATAGCTAATAATAATTTAAAGTATGGATTCTTGCAAATTCTCTCGAAGGATGCTGACCAGTGGTTGAGGAAATTATCATCTTTGGTGCAGAAATGGACCTTAAACCAAGACCCAGATCTAGACCCAGACTTAATGCTTGGAGACCCAGAATAATAAGATCACAACATCATGACATAACATTATGTGCCATAATGGCTGAAAACAAGTCTTTTGAAATCACAGGACATTTCACTTCTTAAAAACCTGCTGAGCATGAGGTTATATCTGGTACTGAAGATCTTCTAAAACTCCCAAATTTATTTTGAGTTTTTCAGCTGTTAAAACAAATGAAATGTTCCACCTGTTAGTTCATAGACAATAAGCGTTTATATGTCTGAATTGTGTCTCGTAAAACCGGTCCAACAAAAGCCACTCTGCAAATCACTGATTTTCAGTTGTTTTAATGGAGACACTGATTAACCTTATTCTGTGATGAGTTACATTAATTTCCATAGTTTCCGACTCACAGCCAGACTTAGAAAAGAAAAAAAGTATATCAATATGCTGACATCAAAATGAAATAATAATAACAGTGCCGATGGTTCTTAGGGATGGGAGTGAATACTGAAGCCTAGAAATGGCAAGTTAAAGTTCTGAACTGAACTGTGTCCCAGAATGACTCTATGGTGCGCCCTGGGGGCCGGAGCCAAAGCAAAGACATTTCAAGAACATCTGAGAGCATTTCGTCATCTCTTCAGACGTTTAAAAAACACTTTGTAAGAAATAAACTAAATACTTTAACAGACCGGGAAGGAAAACGTTCCCGATCTCATTCTTAACGTTCCATTGCAGTAGCCCGTCTGAATCCGGGAGGTTTCCTGAAGTGCACTTGCTCCTGAGGCCGCGAGTCGCCTCCTTGGCACCAACATCTGTCGGATCCTGTCCATCTTCAGTCATCAGTCTAGCACTAAAAATCAACAGGTGGGAATATCCTGAAAAGTGACGGGGGTTGATGAAAGCAGAGGGAATGGATATAAAGGACATGAATGGTGCTTTTAGGGGAAATGTGCAAATCACTTTCCTATCTAAATCAATGCTGGCCATTTTGTTTTGGCATTCAAGGGCTGGAACAGTAAAGAAAAAAAAATACTGGAGTGATTAACCGTTCCTCTTCTGTCAGTCTGGTTAAAAAAATACACATTTTCAGTCACTGGTGTTAAATTTTTTTTGGCCCCACAGGGTACCTACTGCAGTAGTGCATAAACGAAAAAAAAAAAAATAGAAATGAAACCGTCATTGTTTTCCTACAGTTTGAAACCATCCCACAATAATAACGACAATAATAATATTAATAATGCTTCAAAGATGCAGGAAATTATTGCCTAAGGCATGATTCTATACAATATTTTCAGTACATACTTTGTAAGTGTTTAAGGAAAACAATCCTTGTATCTGCTACTTGTTCAAAAAGAATGTACAGCTTGATTACTCTAGTTTTGTGCCTTAGTCCTTTTTGCTGCTTTTTCACATTTTCAACTTTTTTTTCCTTACAGCTTCAGTTCGTTGGCAATTTTCGAGGCAATGTTTTTGAAAGCGATGGATGTTCCTGATATCCGCTTGAAGCGCACGCCGTTTAGCGAGAGGCGGGGCAGTTTGCACACCTCCATCTCCCATTGGACCAAGCTCTCGGCGTGGCCGTCGCCATGGACGCATAGAAGCAGGAAGCGCTCACGCTGCTCGTAATCGCAGCTGTTGGCGTCCAGGACTTTGCGGATCTCGCGCATCATCTCTGTGGGCTCCATGGAGGAGGTGGTCTTCATGCTCCAGGTGAAGCGTAGCGAGCGGGGTTTGGCGTCTTTATGTTCCTCTTTCTGATCCCCAGACACATTACGACTGCAGGAGAGAAGAGAGAACGGTCAGAGAAATGAGAAACACTTGGTTCGTGAAAGTGAACATGAGAACATTAATGGCAGAAATGTACACAAGTAGGCAACATGAACACTTGGCTAATGCATTGATCCTATTGCATTTTTCTAGGGTGCCACTAGTTTTTATTTTTATTGTATTTCGATTTTTAATTTCAGGTGAATTTTAGATTCCAAATAGCTTTTATGCTGTTTGTTCATAAAATTAAATTTAACCTATTTGTGTGTAGTTGCTGTTTTTTTTTTTTTTTAATAAAGACATTAATATTTTTACTCTGCAAGGATGCATTAAATAGATCCAAAATTACCGACTTTACTTTTTGGGAAAGTGGCTTCATTTAATAATTCACCAATACATACACTACCATACAAAAGTTTGGGCTGATGGTTTTTTCTTTTTTAACCGAATGAAATAACTATTTTTATTTAGCAAGAACGCATTAAATTGTTCAGAAGCGACAACAGAGACATTTATAATGTTACAAAAGATTTCTATTTCAAATAAATGCTGTTTTGAACTTTCTATTCATCAAAGAATCCTGAAAAAACAGACTAGTAATGTCTGCTGAAAATTCAGCTCTGCATCACAGGTATAAATTACATTTTCCAAAACATAAACAGCATTAAACAGAGCTTGCATAGCTGGAAGTCTTTGCGTTCACATACTCGTTTGTTTCAGACCTTCATAATGAAGATGCTGGTGTGGGTAAATGAACATAAAAACAAGTTCTTACATAACTTTTCACTGTTTTCAGTGACAACACATGCACTGAAGCACCTGAGCGCATTTGACATGCAGTGAACACAAAAATCACCATGCAGAGATACAGAAACAGTGCAGTGAGCAACTCAAGGGAGCAAATATAAGAATATAAAGAAAAATACTCATTAAACTGGCCATGAGGTGTGATTTTAATCAACTATAAAATGTTTCCAAGCTCAGATTCGAATCTAAACTTCACAAGTAAACCACTGTATGATGTTACATAGTGTTGTGGCTGGTATTGTGAGTGATTTTAGTGTTACTACTTTAAACAAGCACTTATCCCTAAATATGAGCAACATTGCTTTGACCTTTACTCTTGTCTTAGCAAACAGCACTAATAATCATGTTTCACTTTCTTCTTCTTGCCACAAGATGGCGGAGCAATAGAGCTAGATGCCAATGCAAACAAAAGCTTACTTTTGTTGTGACAGATCAGAATAAATGAATATTCACAGAACAGATTATCAGAGGCTCACATAAACCTCAATGGTTAAACTCAATGCACTTGATCTTTGGGATATCATGTCATATGCCAGTTTATGTATGTTTGTAGATTTATTCAAAACAGCGAGGTTAAGTCTGTGGAGTAATGTTAGGACTAAATGTGACCCTGGACCACAAAACCAGTCTTAAGTCGCTGGGGTATATTTGTAGCAATAGCCAAAAATACATTGTATGGGTCAAAATTATTGATTTTTATTTTATGCCAAAAATCATTAGGATATTAAGTAAAGATCATATTCCATGAAGATATTTTGTACATTTCCTACCGTAAATATATCAAAACTTAATTTTTGATTAGTAATATGCATTGCTAAGAACTTCATTTGGACAACTGTAAAGGCGATTTTCTCAATATTTTGATTTTTTTGCACCCTCAGATTCCAGATTTTCAAATAGTTGTATCTCGGCCAAATATTGTCCTATCCTAACAAACCGTACATAAATGGAAAGCTTATTTATTCAGATTTCAGATGATCTATAAATAAACCATACATAAATGGAAAGCTTATTTATTCAGATTTCAGATGATCTATAAATATCAATTAAAAAAAATTGACTGGTTATGACTGGTTTTGTGGTCCAGGGTCACAAATGTCCAAAAAGCAAAGAAAAGATGGTATAAAATCAGAACTGTAAAACCAGATGTCCTGTCTCACCTTGAATCCTCATACCTCCCATTTCTATCGCATTCTGCCGGCACTCTTTAAAAACCAGGATGAAAAAGAGAAAAATAGTTTAGAGGCAAGGAAATCTGAGACTCAGCTGATCAAGGAAAGAAAGATAAGACAACAATAGCTTTTCAGACATCCTAGGACAAAAGAGAGAGAGTATCAAAGCCAATGTTAGAGAGAACGCCAACGACAGATACAATTTCCTGTGTAAGTGGAGAGGAATATTGGACATGCACTTAAAAATTGACCTGTGTGGAGAGATAAAATGGGAGAGGAGGAGACAGAGGGTATTACAGATACCCTCCCTGTACCCTATGATTCAACTTCCTGTTCTAAATAGATTCCATGCAGTGGACACAACTGAGTTCATTTTGTCTGGTAAGAAAGAAAAAAAAACACGATTTAAAAGGAAGGGCTCTCATAATGAAAAAAGATGGACATAATGTGGAGCAGTGTGGGGTAAGCTGTGCCACTTTTTACCCAAGCTGTCTTCTGGGCAGGGAGAAATGATATAGCTTTAAAATTAATATGGATAATTATAAATATTTGATCTTCATTATTTTTGACATATTCATATTTCTGGATATCTGCTATTAAATGAAATGAGAATAAAGCTGAAAGCTGTTGTTGGCACAACTTACCCCAAACCACGCGACACACTTTTTGCTTTTTGGGAAAGTTGCTTCAATAATGAAAAAAGATGGACATAATGTGGAGCAGTGTGGGGTAAGCTGTGCCACTTTTTACCCAAGCTGTCTTCTGGGCAGGGAGAAATGATATAGCTTTAAAATTAATATGGATAATTATAAATATTTGATCTTCATTATTTTTGACATATTCATATTTCTGGATATCTGCTATTAAATGAAATGAGAATAAAGCTGAAAGCTGTTGTTGTATATTTTTTTTAATTAAAAACTTTTATTAAGAAAGATGCATCAAAACTGATCAAAAGGGACAGTAAAGGCGATTATATTGTTACAAAACATTTCTATTTCAATTAAATGCATTTCTTTTGAACTTTCTATTCATCAAAGAATTGGGGTAAGCTGTGCCACTTTTTACCCAAGCTGTCTTCTGGGCAGGGAGAAATGATATAGCTTTAAAATTAATATGGATAATTATAAATATTTGATCTTCATTATTTTTGACATATTCATATTTCTGGATATCTGCTATTAAATGAAATGAGAATAAAGCTGAAAGCTGTTGTTGGCACAACTTACCCCAAACCACGCGACACACTTTTTGCTTTTTGGGAAAGTTGCTTCAATTAATAATGGCAATTTACACTACACTAAGATTTTATATATATATATTTTTTTTAATTAATTAAAAACTTTTATTAAGAAAGGATGCATCAAAACTGATCAAAAGGGACAGTAAAGGCGATTATATTGTTACAAAACATTTCTATTTCAATTAAATGCATTTCTTTTGAACTTTCTATTCATCAAAGAATTAAAAAAAAAATGAGAATGATTTCTGAAGGATCATGTGACACTGAAGACTAGTAATGGCTGCAGAAAATTCAGCTTGCATCACAGGAATAAATTACATTTTAAAATATATTAAAATAGAAAACAGTAATAATATTTAAAATAATCATAATGTTACTTTTTTTTTAAAATAATTTTTTTATATAAATGCAGCCTTGGGGAGCATAAGTATATTTAAAAAAACAAAAACATAAAAAAAAAAAAAACTTACTGACTTTTGAATAATACTGTATGACATATATCTGGGGGAAATATATATATTAAATAAATATATTTTAGATATAAATATTTTTTTATTTATATCTAACATAAAAAATAAAAATGTGTTTATTCTAGCATAAAAATGCTTATTTTCAGTTTTAGACAGCAGTATATGATGTGCTGTTTCTGAATGCATGTTAAAATAATCATAATGTTACTTTTGTAAAAGTTATTTTAATATAAATGCAGCCTTGGGGAGCATAAGTATTTTTTAAAAAACAAAAACATAAAAAAACCTCTTACTGACTTTCGAATAATACTGTATGACATATATCTGGGGGAAATATATATATATATTAAAGAAATATATTTTAGATATAAATAATTTTTTATTTATATCTAACATAAAAATACAAATGTATTTATTCTAGCATAAAAATGCTTATTTTCAGTTTTAGACAGCAGTATATGATGTGCTGTTTCTGAATGCATGTTAAAATAATCATAATGTTACTTTTGTAAAAGTTATTTTTAATATAAATGCAGCCTTGGGGAGCATACGTATTTTTTAAAAAACAAAAACATAAAAAAACCTCTTACTGACTTTCGAATAATACTGTATGACATATATCTGGGGGAAATATATATTAAATAAATATATTTTAGATATAAATATTTTTAATTTATTTATATCTAACATAAAAATACAAATGTATTAATTCTAGCATAAAAATGGTTATTTTCAGTTTTAGACAGCAGTATATGATGGGCTGTTTCTGAATGCATGTTAATTTGATAAGCAGTGCATAGTTCTCCAGATTACTTTGATGACACAAGCCACTGACACATCTGAACCACTCCCCTTTTTATGACATTAATGCTACACAATACAAAACACATTAAATACAGATATATTCATTTGCAAGACATTAATCATCCACTGTACAAAATAAAATATGTAAAAGACTGGGAGAGGTCATGCAGCGGCATGGGCAGAGAGCAGCGGTCAGAGGAGAGGACGCTGGCGGGTAAGTGCTCTTATGGGGCAACAGTAAGAGGCGAACTGCCTTTGACATGAACATCCACTGGGCAGCTTCCTTTCTGCATCCTGTAACTTCTGAAAGGAATATTACTGCCAATACTGAGCACATTTTTGTATCTAAACTGAGGAACGAGTGAGATTTACTTTCTTTTGTAATCGACAGCAGGCCATAGATGCGGTCACTAGAGTTTGACTCGTTTATATCCCGGAATATTCTTTAAAAAATGACCAGCTTCCCTTCAAGAACAGAATCCAAAGAAAATAAACCAAGTTTTCTCATTTATATAGAACAAGAGCCTGCAATGTCTTTAAAAACTCTTTAAAGTGTCATCTGACCAACTTCTGGATTACAAAAATCTGAAGTTCTCCATGGAAAAAAAGCAAACGGTCATAACAGCACTGTTGGGAATGAAAGCGCTGGGATTGTGAGACCACCTGGAGGGACAATATGATTGGGTAGGTCAAAAAGGAAGAGGTGGATTCAGAAAATCCTGGACAAATGCTACTTCTAGAGGTCTGGCGCATGATGGGTGAAACTGGGAAACGATGGTTGTCGCAAAAGGCAATCTTGGTACCTTAACTCCAGAAATCTTGTAAAGAACCCTTCTCAATCGCCACATCTGTCAGCTGCTAAATTAAGAGCCCAGTAGGGTGGCCTGAATTACACAACCAAGAGCAAGTCTGTTACCATATCGCAGGAAATGCATTAATGCGTTTATTTCCTTATCGTCAGAGTAGATTAATATATAAAGATGAATTTCTAAGTGATATAACACAGTATATGCTAATGATGAGCTATATAAATATCATGCAACCTGGCAGGAACACACCGTATTTCACATCAAAATAAAAAGAAACAAATTACTTTAATTTTTACTACGAACTTTTTTAGGACCATAATGATTTTTGCACAACATTTTCATGTAAATTAAATGTTTTACTGCCAAATAATCATTACTGTAATACAGAAAAAATGTTCTCAGTACGGTAAAGCAAAAAGGATTTAATTATTATTAAAAAGTTATTAAATAATGTAATATTTTTTAAATTGTCAAGTATTTATATCAAGGTAGTATTTATTGTACTGCATTAAATTTAAGCAGATTACAAAAACCAAAAAAACATTGTATTACTATATCATAATATTATAATTAAAATTATATGATAAAATTATAATAAATTAACAATTAAAATACATTTTTAATATATAAATAAATAAAATCAGAGAATCAACATAATAGAAGAAAAATGGAAATAAAAAAATAATATGATAAAAATAAATATAATAAAAATATAATATTACAAGACTCCAGATACATTAGTAATGGGAATTTTGGGGGAAAATTATTTTGATTTTAGGGTAAAATGTGACCCAGGTATGTCTTATGCACTTATATAAATGAAAGAGAATTCATCGATTTTAGAGAGATTTCATCGAAGTTATGTTCCCACTATTGAATGCTGTAGGTTACTATCTAAATGTGCAAAACACACACAGCCTTCCTTGAAGAAAAAAGGTGTGAAAGGAAAATGAGGCTCTAATGTTTAAAACTGTAAGGAGACTAATGAATCTATTGTGCTCAGTTGTAACCTGTGAACAGGCATGCATGGGTGATTAGTAATGTCTGCCAGGTGCTGCTCGTCAGAAAACAGCAGAAGTCTCAGGCATGCTCAGTCGCACTCCGATTAAATAAGAGGTGAGTGACAAGCGATTAATCAAAAACATCTTCAAACTAGGGTTAGAGTTAAACTTCATATTTCAGCGCTAGTTAACTGCACACAGCCCATCGAGGGTCCTACCTTTTGGTAAACCTGAATGACATATTTCTACAAAAGAAACAGAAAACAGAGACAGTGATCAACATCTAGAGTAGATGTATCGTCTCTTGAGGAAATCTAGGGGAGTCTGATGCCACTGCCACTGATCTGGTGTTGTCATCATTAATAGTTCTAATATGCCAAAACTGCAGCATAACATCCAGTGTTGGGAAGTAAAAGCTACTTAGCTACATTTTTCAGTAGTTTTATAGCAGCTGTTTACAAAATAATAAATCTTTTTAATTAACAAACCACTTCTAAATGAAGCACTAATCAAACTATTATGGTAGCCTGTTTCCACCACAGAATAAAAAAAAATATTGCTAAAAAATAAAAGCTTACAATTCGGACTTTTTTTCTTGCAATTCTGAGTTTATATCTCACAATTCTAACTTTGTTTCTCACAATTTTCAGAATTGTGCGATATAAACTCGTTATTCTGAGAAGAAAAGTCAGAATCGGGAGATAAAAAGTCACAATTATCTTTAGTTTTGATTCCATGGTGGAAAAAAAAAAAAAAAGTTGGAAATGCGAGAAGTAAAAATTCTATATTGCGCAATTCTGTGTTTATATCTCGCAATTTTGACTTCTTTTCTCAGAAATGCAGAAAACAAAGTCCAAATTGTGAGAAAAATGAGAATTGTGAGATAAAAAGTTGCAATTATTTTTTATTCCTTGGCAGAAACATGTTTCCATAAACTGTTGCATTCTAATGCTCATATATTACAAATTCCCAAACTCCAAATGAGAACATTTTCATTCTTATTCCACTGAAAGCCAAGTTCCATAGGGAATAATGGCTTGTTATAGTTGTATTGAAGGTGAAGTGTTTGTTTACCTGCGCGTGAGCTTGGATGTGAGCTTTGTGAAGAGGTTTGTTGATCCGCGGCTCCGGGACTGTGAGAGTGGCGTGGCATCGTGCGATAAGGTTGGAGAGGCAGGGGGTCCGTTATAGGTGGCTGTGCGTCGCTCCCTCAGCTGGCCTCCGTGGAAAGTGCTGCGGCTTAGCGTGCCTCGTGGGAAACGCAGGCGGTCCGGGGGAGTCGCGCTACTAATGCTGTGCGTGGAGGAACCGGGGTTCCGCTGACTCGTCTGAGTCGCGCTCGTACTGAAGAGAGTAGAATCAGGGTCACAGTATGATGAAATAGGAAAATCAGCTAACAACACTGGTTACATGAACAACCAGGTGGTCTTTGGACACTTAAAGGGATAGTGCACCCAAAAAAATGAAAATTCTGTCATCATTAACACATCCTCATATCATTCCAAACCTGTATGACTTTCTTTTATCTTTGGAAAACAACAGAAGATATTTTGAAAAATGTCTTTGTTGTTTTTACAATAAAAGTCAATGGGGCACTATTTCAATATTTCAGATTTCAAAGTCAATATTTGTAATATTTATTAAAATATTAAAATAGCATTAAAATATTTTCTTTTGTGTTCTGCAGAAGAAAGTCATGCGGGTTTGAAATAACATGCGGCTGAGTAAATGATTCAGTGTTGATATTATTAACAAAGTATTAAAAATAATTTTCATTAACTGAAATAAAGCTGAAATAAAATAAAATAAAATATAACTATTTGATGAAAAATACTTAAACTAAGATGTTGCCTTGGCAACTAACTGAAATAAAATAAGTTTAATTTAAAGCACTACAATTACTAAAACTAAAATAAAAATAAATGAAACTAAATAAAAAATTACAAAGGCAAATTTAAAAAATGACTAAGTCTAAGGTGAAAATAAAATAAAAACTGAAGATATAAAAAATAAAAGCCAATTCAAAATATTAATAAATACTATAACAGTATATAAATAATAATAAAATGGCACAGAAATTATGACAGAATTTGCATTTTTGAAAATAAAAATGAAATAAAGTCTCTTTAAGCAACTATACCTTTAAACCACAGCTACAAGTCATTGAATATTACAACAGAATGTAACAAAATAGCAAACCAAAACAATAAATCTGCAAACAAATGATGTTAGGACTTTTCTCAGAAATAATTTGTGTGATTGCTTTTAATAAAGCAGTGTTTTCTTGATTTTTACTGGATATATGTAGTCAGTTCTCCTCAAATTCACACAGGTTTCCAAGCAGAACAACCACAGGTTTAGTTCCTCACATTAATTATGACCATATTTAAAATTTTTTGACTGGTTAAGAAGCTATTATAGGTCTGTTAGTTTGAAATTTTTTATTTCCATATATAGTGTATTTAAGTGGCATATATCTATAATAGTGACTTAACCATAATTTAACCCTAGCAATCTGTGCTCAACAAAATTCTTAATCTGCATATGTATTTCTTGAACACTATACTGATCAAAATAATCAGAAAACATCTCAACAGTCCTTTCACTAGTCGTTGACTAGGTTAATGTAGTTTATATCCTATATTAGTGGGTTTAGACACAAGGAAGTTAGTTAACGGTTTAAATGGGAAGATGCAGGAAATCCTCAAACGTTAAAACGCAACGGAAGCTCCACGACGAGTCCTCCTGACACTACAGGGATGAGACGAGGGTGGCAGGAAATCAAAGACGCAGACAGCAGAGAGGTCAGAGGGCGTTAGAGAGGAGTGCGATGGAGAGACACACTAAGATTAGAAACAGACGCTGAACTCGTCTTTACTTGGGCCTGAAGAGATCAGAGGTGCCGTCGTTGGACGGCAAGGTGGCGCGGCAGGTGTGTCCGGAGGCCGAGAGTGACGTGGCCTTTTGGTGGCGCAGACGGACAGAAGCCGATGAGCTGGCGAGAGCAACAGCATACGCCGTCGGACTCGTGCTGACACATCCTGACATTTCATTCAGGCTGGCCAACGGCAGGCGGGCAAATAAACAGCAGTAGGATGGATCAGACATAGTATGTACGAAGAAAGCAGAGCATATGAGATAAAACTGTGAGCAGAGAAGAATACAAAGAGAGAGTAATATAGGATACGGATGGATCACGATGGTCGACTAGTCGTTCAAAACTGACTAGTCAACATAAACGTGCGTCTTATGGAATCTCCCCTATAAAGGGCTAGCTTAACAGAATAGTTTACTCCAAATAAAAAAAAGCCTGCATCATTTACTCACCCTTATGTCACTCCAAACCTGTATGACTTTTTTCTTCAGTGGAACATAAAACTGGAACACCAAAACAACACTGGACCCCACTGACTTTCATTTTATGGACCAAAAAAAAATCTTCAAAAATATTTTCTTTTTCAGAAGAAAAAAAAAAGTACACTACTATTCAAAAGTTTGTGTTCGGTAAGATTTTGTAATGGTTTTTAAATCTCTTATGCTCACCAAGGCTGCAGATATTTGATCAAAAATACAGTAATAATGCGAAATATTATTACAATTTAAAATGACGCTTTTCTATATGAGTATATTTTAAAATGTAATTTATTCTTGGGATCCAAAGCTGAATTTTCCAGTCTTCAGTGTCACGATTCTTCAAAAATCATTCTAATATGCTGATCTGCTTGTCAGGAAATATTTCTTATTATCAATGTTGAAAACAGTTGATTAATATTTTTGTGGATCCCCAAACCAAAGTTTTGAATAGTAGTGTATAAAGATTTTAGAATGACATGAGGATTAATAAAGGATGATAAAGCGTTCACTTTTGATTGAACTATCCCTTTAAGACTAGTCGACTGTGTGTGTGTGTGGCTTTGAATTTTGTGTATCCCTAATATGGGATTCAGCACATGGTTTGTCTCTCTCTGTGGACTGCATGTTAAAGCTAAGCGGTTCAGCATGGCAGACTGGCACAGCAAGGTTGGCTGTGTTTTTTTGTGATATTGACGCGAGTCAGCAAGACAGAGGCCTCTTTGTGAACTCAAAACGTGTAATGCAAACATCCCAAATGAATCTGGAGGGAGCATGTCCTGGCGTGCCCATATATTTTCATATTCTCCATCTATATTTCCACAGATCTTCCCCCAGAAAATGAATCAATATATTAATGAATGCTTAGACAACACCAATTCGACACTATGGACCATAATAATAATTCCTTAAGTGTTTATAACCACTACAATTTACACTGCACATCTTTAAGTTTTAGGACAGACTGTAGAAGTGATTGGCGATTTGAAAAAATAAATAAAAGCGGTTTAATTTTTTTGCTAATGATATGTCAAATAAATTATGACATGTAAGAAAGTTAGTAGGGCTTCACAAATGGGTAAAAAATTGTGGATATTATATATAATTATTATATTATTTATATAATTTTTAATAAAATTTATATCATTATTAAATATATTGACAAATACTGGTATTTGAACTGTCTAATATGCATTTATCTCATATTGCTGCTGCTTAGATATCAAATAAATGATGTTTAAAAAGTGTAAAAGGTGTTCAAATAAACACCAGGCCATATCTCAATAAAAAAATTTGAATTTGATTACTTATACAGCCTTAGAATTTTCAGCAGTAACATTCAGTCTAAGTTCTACATGATAAAGTAATGTAATGTAAAATATTAAACCAAAGCTCCATCTTCAAATACTGCATCGGGGAGGAAAAAGCAAACAGATGACTCTCCACAAACATTTATGAACCTGTAGATAAGAGCAACAGTTTTTGTGAAAATATCTGGTTGAGTGAGGATGAAAAGACGCAGGTTGTTCTTTGTTGTCAGTCACTGTTTTGAGCAACATGGTGGTGTTTCCTGTAAAACGGTGTTAATGTTGAAAGGGAAAAGGGAGATTCACAACCTTTGACCTAAAAATGAGAGGTCTCAGGGACTCACCTGTTCTCTTTGCCGTTCTGGATGACGGAGTGACGGTCTGTGGCGTTCCTCTCACTACACACGTATGTGTTTCTTCTGGTCATACCGCTAGACACAGAATTGCTCTGCAGAAATACATATTATAGTGTGAGTCTTAACTGTTTTAAATGAAACACCGAAACAAAATTAAAAGTTTTCATTTAGCCGAAAACCGAAACCTAAAATAAATCTTGTTTAATAATCACATAATTATGTTTCTACACCAATTCGCTGTTGAAATGGAAAAATTTTAATGAGCATTAAAGAGCATCAAAATCACATTTATTATTTGAAATTTGTTATAAACTTGACAGAATTTGAAAGACTCATTTTAAAAGTAGCAAAGCACAAAGCTATTATATTGGATGATAGGCACGCTATAAATAATGTTTAGTTAAGTTTTGTTCATGCATCAACTAAAACAGCATAGACTAAAAGATCTTGTTTTAACAAAATAAAGATAGACTAAAAACAAGAAATCAATATTTATTACAGCTGACACGTTTACCTGACATTTACCTGATTAAAAAGTACCCGTTCCATCAATAATTTTAACCCTCCAAAACTATTTTGGCCGAATCCAAAAACCCATTTTCTGATGCCAAAATTGTGTTGATTCATAAAATAACTAAACAAATTTATGTATATAAGCAACACGTCGTTCCAACCAGTTTTATTTTTTCCATTTTAACTTTAATTATAGTTTTAGTAAATTTGTTGTGTGTTTTTGTCATTTTTATAATAATTATTATTTTTTAAATATATCTATATAGTTTTAATTCATTTTTATTTCAGTTTTAGTTTTAAGTACATCAAGTTAAACTAAATTAAAATGAGAAATTTATTCTATTTAAGTTAAGGTTGATTGTATTTCAAGTAATGTACAAATTTTTTTATGGTATTAGTTTTAGGTAACTATAATAACCCTGGTTCCAAATTGTTAGATTCTCTTAAAGTGCCCCTATTATGGATTTTTGAAAATTACCTTTCATGCAATGTGTAACACAGCTCTAAGTGAATGAAAACTTCCTGCAAAGTTTTAAATCTGAAAGTGCACTGTGTAAAAAATTATTGTCTCTCAAAAGAAAGAGTCGACTCTGAATAATTGAAACTAGTCGTTTTTAAAACAAATCCCAAGCCATTTCATGTTGAGGTCAACATGAAACAGCATATTGCCCACCCACTTGTTGGTCTTTTCACTTTGGTCTGCATGAAAGTGCAAATTCATTCTTTGCCACTAGGTGCCGCTTTTGGAGCGGTAAAAATAGTTGTTTCCCCAGTAATGCTGTACACAAAGCAGCACTGCACTCACAAACGCTGCTTTACCAGGCATTACAGGCATGATGAAATGAAAATGAGACCAATCGGACCAATCACCGCAGATTAGCATTACACAAAGGAGGGTTTTGGAAAAATGAATCCTTGAGCGAATCGTTTGGGGAGTCGTTGAGCAAGTAAGGTAAAAATAAATGCATATTATAAGATAATTAAAGTGTTTTTTGACCGTGCATGCATGTCAACCTGTTGTTGGGGACTCCCAAAACCAAAATATGAACCTTTCATTATCCATAATAGGGGCACTTTAAAATCTATTTTGTTATACAAACAATGGCATTACAAAAGATCTTGGGTGTTACCAACTTACCCCAGGGGCACCGGCGCTCTTTTTGCCATCAGGAATGTCGGCCTTGTTTGGATTGTTGGCGTTGCCCAGCATGGGGCTCGGTGGAGCCATGCCACGGCTTCCAGACGAGCTTGACTTACGTGCCTGTGCACTGCCCTCCTCTTTATGGTCACTTTCTGCAGAAGTGGTTTGACTTCTCTTGGGGTAACCCACCGAGGGAATGGTTGGACCAGCTGTAGAGGAGAGGAATGGAGATTAGAAAGACAAAGATCTCACAGTAAGCACCATGTAAAGCCCAAAAAGCATGCTTACCCTGGTCACTGTAACGACGCTGTTTCTGGTTGGAGGAGACGTTCTTTTGGACTTTGAGGTGAGATGGTGACTGGCCGTTATTGTGCTCACTATTGGGTCTGGCCTTTGCCAAAGAGAGGTTACTGCTGGAGCTGGAATCACTCACCTCCAACTGTGATCACACAAAACAAAACATAAAAACTGCAACTGAGACAGAAATTTTTTTTTTTTGTCTGGATGTAAATGCAGGATTAACGCACAGTGAGAAATGAGTGAATGTAATTGGCAAATCCAGTTTGATAAGATAACCAGTGATATGGGTTTAGAATGACAACTGACATGCTACAAGTCTAAAACATTCATAAACGGATGTCAGATGTAGCCAGATGTTTGACTATGGGTATAAAGACTAGCCCACACTGCAGCTCATTCTGTTTTCCTGTCTGCTTCAGCAGGAAGGTTTTGTCTAAGCGACATGACCTTTATGGGTGGGTAAATCTAAAATCGATGACACCACAATAATAGAGCAGAGTGCAACTAAGTGGTAACTCATTGAAATAAAGGTACAGCAATTTCCATGACAGGTTGTAAAGACGACATCAAATACATGAGGGAAAAATGGTTTTATTTTGTGCTTAAAATTTCCAGAGTTAGAGACTATAAATCTGCAAACAAATCAAATGTATAGTTGCAGTAGCATATATTTATTACTTGCTGGGCTTGTGCCTTGAGGCTGAGACTATAAGTGTCAAATCACACTAACATATCTTACTCAGACACACTGCTGTTCAAAAATAAAATTTAGTTAGCAAGGATGAATTCAATTAATCAAATGTGACAGTAAAGACATGTTACAAAAGATTTCTATTTCAAATAAATGCTGTTCTTTTGGACTTTCTACTAATCAAAGAATATATATATAAGAATATATATATATATATATATATATATACATTTTCCCCACAATGCAGCCTTAGTTGACATAAAAGACTTTTACATCTTTTTTTAAATCTTACCAAATCCCAAACTTTTGAACAGTACTGTATGCTCTCATTTAGCTAGATCTTTAACCCCCAACTGTGCATTGCAACCAAACAGCCCTAAAACAGCATGTGAACTAACTCACCTCAGTGGACTTCCTTCCTAACAGCAGGTAGGTAGCCGTGATTTCGTCGTACTTCATCCTGGTTAGAGATTCGTGGATCTCCTCCCTTGAGTAACCCATTCCTACCATGATATCTGCAACAAACCATATGCCAACAGTCAATGTAGGATACTGTTACCAGTTGGTTGAGAGTCAAAATTGGTTGGCCTCTATAAGTTTTTCAAAAGAGGAATGACGACAATGTTGGAGGAGAGAGGACCAGGCTCCTTTTATCCTTCCGGAGCTCCTCCGTGGGACTCGAGACCGGTGAGTGGCGCAGGTGTCGCGCATTAGCATTTCCTCCACCGGCCTCGCTCCGTTCCCACGGCTCTCGGCCCCCCGCCCCTCTCGTCACACTGTGCATCTGGACTCTTTCCATATTTGTGCACAAAGAATTCTGATATATAAAAAGCAGAGTAGCCGAAAACTGAGATACATGCATTTTAGCCAAACTTCAACATCAAAAAGAAGTTTTAACATGTTTATTCCAAATTCTTCATGAACAATGTCTGGCTACTTTATATCTCAACAGCCCTCATAAGTAAAAAAGAGTGATCTAGTATAATTCCTGGTATCATTTTAGCTTAACTATGAAAATAGTGATAAGCAACTCTCAATGTCGTTACAGTTTCATGTGCTAGACTAAATGTGATAGCCTCGGCTCAATTGAACTGTTCCTGCACTAGCTGTAAATGCTGTTCGGGACACAGAACTGGGGCTCAGAGATCAATGGAGACGGGCCTGCAGCAGCAGTGGAAAGAACAGGGCCTGTCTGACATCAGCTACCATCGACCCCTGCACTCCACTGAAGCCCACAGGCACAACAACCACTATCAACGTCACGTTGAAGGAAGCATGCCAGACTAACAGCTTCTGTTGAGCAAAAAAAAAGGTGATCGACTCTTAGAACATTACGCAATGCGAAAAAGCCAAAACATCCAAATATTTGGATCTCCCGTAATGGCTCTCGTGAGCCATAAAGCTCTGGCTCACTCCCACGAAAACTCACTAATAACAATAAAATGATGAGCGGACAGGAAAGCGCTTATTACTTCTGTAAATTTGGAATCTGTTTTGTCTATCCAGCTAAAAACGTGAATGTTTACATGCGTTGCTGTGGCGGTAAAAAATGTCAGTTCTCGAGTTGCCTTCAAATGTGCAGTTAAACTGGACATTACTATTCAGGTACATTATTGTTCAAATGTATGTGGTCAGAAAGATTTTATTAATACTTTTATTCATTAAATAAGTATATGCATTAAAATGATAAAAGTGACAGTAAACATTTATAAGCTTTTACAAAAGATTTCTGTTTCAAACAAATGCTGTTCTTTTGAACTTTCTAGTCAAAGACTTCTAAGAAATTTATTTAAAAAATATTAAGCAGCACAACTGTTTTCAGCATTGATAAATGTTTTCTGAGTAGCATATCAGCATATTAGAATGATTTCTGAAGGATCATGTGACACTGAAGACTGGAGTAATGATGCTGAAAATTCAACTTTGCATCACAGGAATAAATTATATTTCAAACATATTAAATTAGAAAACAGTCATTTAAAATTGCAATAATATTTCAAAATATGTTTTACTGTATCTTTGATTAAATAAATGCAGCATTAGTGAGCATGAGACATCTTTCATAAACATTAAAAAATCTTACAGACCCCATAGTTTTGAATGGCAATGTAGCTGATGATAAGCATGTCAACAGTTTCACTGACTTTCTCAGCAAGATTCTCTTCAAACTGTTGCTCCACCATGACAGAAGTTGACCTGACAGAGAAAACTGACTGAAAAGAAAACCAACTGACACTAACGCATGTTATAGCATCACTGGAAATGCAATATACACTTGCGATATGTTATGAATTGTGGTCTGACAGAATTCAATGATGCACAAAATCAGGTTTGCGTAGCTAGGAGGATTTGCATTCACATACTTGTGTTGAGTATGTTTTGTACCTAAAACTAATGACCCTTCCCCTCATTTCTGAAACAATCTGGTCTAACTGGGAAGTTTCACATTTAAAACCAAGAGTTCTGCTTTTTTATTCAAAACAACTTTGTGGAAACGGCAGTAAGGAACATGCCATCATCCACAATCTGCAGTATGAATTTAAAAACAAAAACATTTACAAATGAAATTCCTTTAATTTTACATGTACAAGTCACATTTTGGACTTTGAAGACCCCTGTTCTGCAGTATTATGCTTAGTTTCTACAAATGCATGTAAGAGTGCTGATTTCATACCGATTCTCTTCTGATCCGAAATATCGAGCTCAGGCTCCACAAACGGCTTGAGCTCGTCCTCCTCACAGCCTGCATTGATCCATCGATCCTTCATGATTTGCTGAAACACACATACACAGGGCTGTGTGAGTGGTTCTGGCTAGATCATGAATATGCATGATTACGCAGGAAGCAAAATACATGTTTTAAGTGGGTCAACTGGAAGAATCTTGACACAAAGTTGTGGACAGATTTTTTTCGTTTTGTATATCATTTCATCATATGTAGTGCTAAATAATATGAATATGAAAACTGAATGAATATCCACATATTAAGGAGCGGTATAACACATGCTTGAGTGCATAGTGTCTCTCAAATCCTCAATTATTCATCAGCGGATGTCATTTCATTCTGAGTTTAATGCAACAGAACTATAATTCAGCAGGTGCATTATGGGCTGTGAAGTGAACAGTATATAACCTGCACCTAAAGCCCCCAAACACTGGAGGCGCTGTTTCACTGGAACTCAGAGATCACCATGTAAGTTTAAAACAGGGTGTGTCTGGTCATGAGCTTCATGTTAAATTAATTGGGAAGAGAAAGCATGCTGTGATGAAAGTGTGCACTCAGGCTAAAGGTTATGATGAAGGGAGAATAAAGGGAAAGAGATGAGATGACATGCTTGGTTTATTGGGAATGTGGCTGAGAGGTTTATGTTTTCATTAATCAAGGCACCTTCTATGAACACTATACACTTTGGTGTCCCGTTACTTTTTTTTAAAACATTAGATGCATAAACTCAAATCTTTCTTTTTGTTGTAAGATCTACTGAAAATGTTTGATTAACCATACAATAAAAAAATAGCTTGTTTTAAACATATCAGATATTTATATCTGTGAATCCATCGATTTAACCCGGTTACCCAAATTACTGTAAATAAAAACAAGATTATAATATAGCTGCAAGCAGCAATTACCGGGGTTCAAGCACATGAAGGCATTTAAGGTGGTATATTTTAGGGTCTAGGCCAATAGTTTTTATTGTTTTGTATGTCATCTCAAATATAATAAATTGGCCCATAAAATTAGATTTAAATTTTATTTAGTCAACTGCAAACCCCCAAAATTAAACAAAATAAACAGCTATACCCAAAAACTGACCTTCTGAGCTTCACAAGCATTTTCTGAAAATAAAGCACCTCTTTTCACTGACCAATACATACTTATTTTGTACCGTATTTGTGTAAAGTGCATTGAGTCTTTACAGTTCCTCACCTCAAGTGTTCCCCGTTTGACAGGGTTCAGCACCAGGAAGCGTTTCAGGAGGTTCTCACAGTCAGTCGACATGTAGAAGGGAATTCGATATTTGCCCCTCAACACCCGCTCACGAAGTTCCTGCAGGTAAAAAGATCATTTTGGTTGTAATATCTGATTGGATGAGATTTGAAATCAAACAGCCAGTATATGCACACTTGTGACACACATCTTGAACACATTTTTATTGAGATTAAGAATCGTTATTTAATTATTTAGTGTCTTTATTGACTGTTATCACTATTTTATAAAAGTAATGAGCCACGAGAGGTTGCACGTTACAATGATTTTACCATTCTCCTCTGCATTTTGCTTAAAACAAGTATAATGTATAACCTCATGGGGCATATTGCTTTAATAAATCACTGATTTCATGCAGCATTTTTCATGAGTCACTACACAAACCCACAGGCTTCTCAGTTGTATGACTCTCTGTGAAGGTTTAGGAGGGCAAACGTGACCTTTCAGGGTTGAGCACACTAACCTTTAGATTCTGTCCATCAAAGGGCAGTGATCCACTGACCAGTGTGTAGAGTATGACCCCCAGACTCCACACGTCCACCTCCGGCCCATCATACTTTTTACCCTGGAAAAGCTCAGGGGCCGCATACGGCGGGCTACCGCAAAACGTGTCTAGTTTGTTCCCAATAGTGAATTCATTACTGAAACCGAAGTCTGCAATCTTAATGTTCATATCTGCATCCAGCAGTAGGTTTTCTGCCTGCATGACAGAACAAAAGAAGGTGAGACAGAGTCCTTTTTCATGCATATTGTGTTTGTTGATGATTAATGAAATGCAAAGCGAATTTATACTCTCATCACATGAAAACTTGTCTTTGTCATACTTCACATCAAAATCAAAAGGAAGAAATAATAATGATAATTCAACTAATTTATTAATTAAAATAAATATTAATTTAACGTTATGAATAAGAATATAATTGTATTAATTTATTAAATATGTATTTTTAATTTAAATAAATATGAATTTAATGGTATAATTTTAGTACACTAAAACAGTTGTAATAAATAATAATGAAAATATAATAAATAATTTGGGGACCATTACAATTTTTTTGCATGTATTTAATTTAATATCATTTAATAATTTTTTTATTTATAGCTTTTTTTGTATTGTCTTCAATTTATACACATTAAAGATATATACTATACTAAGATATACTGATTGATAATTAAAGAAATAAATACAAAATAAATACAAATAAATAAAAAGTTACTAATAATCACAGTGATGAGAAAAATTAAAAAAGAAAAAAAGGACCATGAATATAAATATGAATATATATATATTTTTTAATGGCTTGAAATGAGACCAGGACATTTGTGAGAATCTGTTGTTTCACCCAAGAACATATAATGAGCAGAGATCATTAAATCTAAATTTATCATAACGTTTCTTAGTTATTAAAAAAAAATGTCTAAAATCCACTGATTATTTGTAGGTTAATATTGAATTACGAATCCCAGATTTTGGACCTCACTGTATATATAATGTAAATGTAATCTATCTAAGATGCTCCTTACAGTAACTCCTTACTAACATACATTTAAGCAGACAGGTACAGACAGCAAAAGAAAGAGTGAAAGCAACAGCACATAACACAATTAAAAAGGCCCACATTTCCACCTGGCTTCCTACACTCGAGTCATTTAGACAGCTTCACTCTGACACTGGCCTCATGCATCATTTACAGAGCATCAGTCTGGAAACAAAGTGTGTAATGGAGCATGGAGACTTGGAGGGGGAAAGCAGACGCAAGGGAGACTGGAGAAAGGAAGCAGGATCTTCAGGGGCTCTTGCTCATGTTCTGTCCTGCTCAAAGACATGGCTGCTAATTGATTTAATCAACCGGTCCGTACCAAAGAACTGACTTAAGCACCATTTCGGTACAAAAGACGTATCTACATGCAGGGCATTTGAGAGAATAGCAGTATGAGGAGATGAACCTATAATCTCAGACTTTTTGTTTGTTGGGACAGAAAGATGATCTTACCTTGAGATCTCTGTGGACAATGTGTTTTTGATGGCAATACTGAACCGCTGATACAATCTGAAGAAGAAAAGGAGACAAAGGCGTTTTAGAGCATGGAGAGAGAGACAGAACTGACTGGATGACAGACAGGGTGTGGTGTAACAGCTAATACGCCACATTAACTGGCATCATCGCTTTTTCCCAGAATGCCATTGATTTGACAGGGGAGCATGTGTGCTGAGGTTCTGACATATGGTCCGGGATGATAAATGAGGGGGGAGAGAGAGGCTTGCTAAAGCACAGCCAACGTTTGGAGCTCGAAACCATCAGAATCTGGGTGTGAGATTGAGGGACCTTATTTCTTTTTAAATAGAGTATCAACTCAAAATGTAATGTACAAAACTATTCAAAAGTTTGGGGTCTTTTTTTTGAGGAATTAATACTTTTATTCAGCAAGGATGCATTATATTGATCAAAAGTGACAGTGAAGACATTTATAATATTATAAAATATTAATATTTTAAATAAATTCAGTTCTTTTAAATTTTCATCAAAGAATCCTAAAACATGTTTATCAGTTTCCACAAAAATATTAAGCAGCACAACTGTTTTGAACATTAATAATAATAAATGTATCATTGGCATCAAATCAGCATATTATATATGATTTTTGAAGGATCACGTGACACTAAAGACTGGAGTAATGATGCTGAAAATTCAGCATTGCATCACAGGCAAAAAATTCAATTTTAAAATTCATTAAAAAAGAAACATTTTTTTTTAAATTGTAAAAAATATTTTACAATATTACTGTTTTTAGGTCAAATAAATGCAGCCTTGATGACTGAAGAGAATGCTTTCACAAAAAGTTGACATGAAATAAAAATTCACCCCATCTATTTTCTAAATGCATGTTATAGATGATATCGTGAACAATTTATCCACATATAAGTTTCCTTTTTTGACCTCGTACATTTTTAATAAAAACATCATAACTGGATCTTCCAGTGAAAATGACAGACTTCTCCAAACTCTTGAACGTTTGTGTAAGTTTGGCTGCTACAAAGAGATGACCAGCTAAACGCTCCTCACATTATCTTTATCATCACATTAAACACTGTCGGAAGCTAAAGTAATCATAGGTGACAAATACGCCCACAATTACAGTATTTCTATAATGACATTTGAAATTGAACAAGATTCGCTTCCCAGTGTTGATTTAGAAGGGAAATCTGCAGTGGAGCCGAGATCACTCCCATTATATTAGCTAAAATATTCAATAAACCAACACGCACAAATGACAGATTTCCAAAAGCATTACTTCAGAAAAACATGACTTATAATGTAACTTTTTATTTTGTTAATATGTGATCCAATCAAATTATACCTCGTTATAATTGTGGATTTCCTCATCTAGTTCTGAAACGCACAACATTCTTGATACTGTTTAATATTCATGCAGCTCTCTCCATGTCCCAGACATCAGATATGGGGACAGATTTCCATTTCTTTCTCCGGCTGGTGGAAGAATCTGGTGGTTTTTCTGCTCTGCTCAGAAATCTCAGCAGTGCTTCATGCCTGACCCAGATAAGCTGTCTCCACAGCAGCAGCACAGGGCTCAGAAAGAGAAGAGGAGGATGGGAGGGAGACCCCATCGCTATGACTACAGATGTCTGCATCAGCTGTGGGCAAACCCACCGTACTCATCCATTAGACCGATGGGTCGCAGTGGGAAGGAGGGAGGTTGAAAGGGGTCTTCGGGTAATTAAAAGGAGCAAATGATGCTGTCGGTGGGTGGCTGTCTCATTAGAGCTCTCTCACTGCACTCAACACCTGGAGGTTTTTTGTTGACAGCACAATTTGGCGTAAATGCAGCATCAAGCAACCGTAAAAGCTTATCGTTGCCATCACTGCATGTATTTGCCACCCATGATTAATTTATTACAAGTAGTTTATGATAATAGAGGGATTATTAAGATTAATGGAGTAGCATCCGGCTGGTCAAGTGATCTTAACATGGTGGTCATAAAACATGCTCACCTTTATGCATAACAAAATAATTTGGTCTTTAATAATCTTGGACATTGATATGACTGGAGTCTTCAACTCACATTAATGTTTTTTTTATGTTAAATCATATTAATCATATTATATTATAAAATATAATTAATAATATTTTTAAATTATTAAAATATTATTTAAAATATAATTTAAAAAAATGTAAACATGTCAACAACACCATTCTTTTTTTAATTTATCGATTTTGAAGATCTTCACTGACACAAAATTACAAATTTTATTATCATGAACTCAAACTACAACCATAAAAAAAACATTTCATTACTTGAAATAAAATAAACATTAACTGAAAAAAATAAAAAATAAAATAAAATAAAAACATACTTATTTTGTTTCTGCTAGTTGCCAAGGCAAAATTTCTCATTTTCGTTTAGTTTAAGTTGGTTCTAAAATAACTAAATCTTAATCAAAACTATATAAAACTTAATCAAAAGATAAATAATACCAATAATGATATTAATAATTAAACAAAAACCTCTATTATAAAATATTGACAAAAATTATAATAGTATCTCAGTGACACTTAAATAACAATGGGATACTAACTGCTTACTGCACGGTATGTAATAAATATACCTAAAAAAATAGTATGTGAAACAGTTGATAACATACAATAATAAATATTTAAAGCAGTTGTTTGCTACATTGTCGTCACATTATATTGAGAGAAATTAAATTTAGCATACATTTAGGTTATTGTTATTATGACGAAAAAATATATGGATATTTATTTGAATAAAATAAAATTTAATCTTGTGTAAAAATGGCTTACCTTTAAGAAGTCTAATCAAATAATCGAGAAAGAGATGAATATAGATGAATTCGTTTGGTCACTCTAGAAAACAAGCGTAACGCATTGTTGTCTAATAGCTTTGTTCTTGCTGAATACTGAGGACTTGGTCGAAATTTAGTGTCCTTGTATTCTATGCATAGAGGAAATTGCATAATATGCACAGCAAACATATTGTAAAACTGGCATTATGCTATTTTAAACACTCCAGAATTCTAAGATTTGGCAAAAAGCTCATTACAACGCACGGCTGCTGCGATGTCAGCAAATTAATTTTGACGAGGACTTGTGGTTTTCCAAAAGCGGTCTTAAAACTGTTCAAACCGTATTTAATTTATGACCCCAAACCCAAAGTCGTGTATATGGGCCATATTCGGCGCACTGGGAAACCCTTCACGCAGCTGCCACAGGATCCATCAACCGTCACTCACACAAGCGTCGCCCAATTGCAGTTCACAGCTTGGTGTTTCCATGGCGACCAGGAGGCGTGTGCAGGGCGGCCCGGGTGAGAGCAAGAGGGCGGGACAGGGCTGTATTGAGTACACTGCAGTACTGTACCTGTCTAAATTTAGATCTGGCCTCCTTCTCCTTCATTCGCCCATGTGCTACGAGGTAGTCAAACACCTCCCCTGTGGAGAGAGGAGACGCACATGGCGAATCATATAGCGCTCATGCGTTCTCAGTTTCATATGCTTCATTATGCAGAATTACAGGGCCGGCTGCACAATATTACATAACATATGGAGCTCATAAGCAGTCAGTGTCATATTAGCTTCATCAAACTCACCACCACTGGCGTACTCCATCACCAGATAAAGTGTCTTCTCTGTTTCTATGACCTCAAACAGCTTTACTGTAGAAAGAGACAGAGAAAGTCACACATGAAAAACAATGATCATTATTCTGCTGGTTTTATTGTTCTGACAAATTTTCAAAGTTTTTTCTTGTATTGCAGGCCGATATGACAGTTGTCTGTTATCGTGGATGCAGCAAAACACAAATGTAAAAGTTTGTGATTAATGGTGTAGGGTATCAGACCGAATCAGACAATTTAAGATTCGATCAAGAACATGGTTGAAACACAAGGAGCCGAATTCCACAGAAAGGCCCAAGACGACAGGATGTTCATAAATCAGATCCTAGCGCCAGCCAGTCTGAAGCAAGCCTAACCAACCAACTCTTTAACAGAACAGCTTGCAACATTAACATAAAAGAACAACTCAGGAAGGAGATTGTCAATTTTGGGGCAAGTAAGCAAGATTGATGGTCAAAGAGATGCACAGCATGACCATCACATGTAAATCCA